GTTTGGCCCTCCAAATCCACTAGACACATGCTGGGGGTCAGCAAACCACAGCCCATGGACCTCATCCGGCCTTCCATTTGTTTTTGTAAATAAAGTTTTATCAGAACAGAGTCCCACCCACATGTTTATGTCTTGTCTGTGACTCTTTTTTCTTTTTAACAATAGCAGGGTTTTGTTGCCACAGAGACCCTCTGACCCACAAATCTTAAAATATTTACTATCTGGGCTTTTACAGGAAAGGTTTGGTGACCTCTGCTGTATATTGTTTGTCCCCTCAGAGGAGGTACAGGACAGCATGGAGAGAGGCCAGGAGTGTTGCCGAAGTAGAGCCATCAGCATGGAGGGCAGCGTCAGAGGTGGGGGACGAGGTCACTGGGTTTAGGAAATCTTGTTTCCTGAGCTGCACTTGGTCTCCAGGGATCTTCTCACAATATGGCTGTAAAGACCTGAGGGTGAGATACTGGAAGGTGGGACCATGGGCAGGTTTATTTAAATAAGATAGGGTTTCTCAGCAGAGCCCGGTGGCTCACACCTGTAATCCCAGAACTTTGGAAGGCTGAGGCAGGTGGATCACTTGAGGTCCAGAGTTTGAGACCAGCCTGGCCAATATGGTGAAACCTCATCTCTACTAAAAATACAAAAATTAGCCTGGCATCGTGGTGCACACCTGTAATCCCAGCTACTCGGGCGGCTGAGATAGGAGAGTCGCTTGGACTCAGGAGGCGAAGGTTCCAGTGAGACGAGATCACCCTATTGCCCTCCGGCCAGGGCGACAGAGGAAGACCCTCTCTCAAAAAGAAAGTGGGGAGGAGGATTTCCAGGAGTAGGCACTGCTAACATTTTGTCCTGGGTCAGTCTTGGTTGTGTGGGGCTGTCATCTGCGTCAGAGAATATTGAGCAGCATCCCTGGCCTCCACCCTTCTGATACCAACAGCACACCAAGTTCTGATGAAATCAAAAATGTCTCCAGACGTTGCTATGTGTCTCCTGGGGACAGAGATGAACCCGCTTCCAGCCAAGAGCCACTGCTTTGAGGAGCTGGATGCATCGAGGCCTCTCCAACATGCCAGGTGCCATGCTGTTGAGAGAAAGAGAAGCGCAGGCCTTGAGCTTGCCCAGGACTTCCATGCTGCCTCCCACTCAGTTACTCCCTGACACCCAGCCAGGGACGCCCCGTCGCTGTTTAATTAGGCACCCACCACCTAATTACATTTCACTCTGTGAAAACTGGATGTGACTCAGACTCAGAGACGGTGCAGCTGGTTCCCCGCCTCCTCCTCTGTAGAACGCCAGGTTCTTCCGGTTTATTTTTGTTCCATCCTTCCACACAAAGGGAGGTTCCACCCGGACCTTACCTCCGAGGCTGCTGGGGGATCTTCCCTTCCTATCTCACCTCCCCTGTGTACCCAGAGCCTTCTGTCTCTGGAGCAGCCACCTCCAACCTTGCATGGTGGGCACGTCATTTCATGAGATGCTTCCCCTTGCCATGTACTTTGGGGGTTCCAGAATCCAGCTGCTTGGGTTCCTAAGGGGTCTTCCCACTCCTGGAAAGTGTCAGCCACCTGCCAGGTCACCAGGAAAACCCCTGCAGAGGGAGCCAGCCCTATCGAAGCTCTTCCAGGCCAGGTAGCTCTCCCCTTTCTCTGAGAACACAAGTGGAGGGGTTGTCCTCTCCTCTGGGGGTGCCAGAGCCCCGTCCCACCCAGTCTTCTCTTTCCTCTGGGCGTTCACCTCCCCTGCCTTTCTCTTCCCCTCCTGGGTTCTCGGCCGAGCACTCACGTACACAGGACCCAGCACCCAGCTGTCTGTTAGCAACATCTCCTTACATCCCTACAACCACCTTGAATGCCTGTATTCTGGGCTGTCAACAATACTCATCAGGAATCTCAGTGCCACAGTATCCTCATCTAGAAAGAGAGGACTAGAATACGATTGCTGTCTCTAGACTCAAATTTTCCCAGTTCTTAAATACGACTTATTATGATTTTTTTAAAACAGAGTCTGTCGCCTAGGCTGGAATGCAGTGGCGCGATCTCGGCTCACTGTAACCTCTGCCTCCTAGGTTCAAGCAATTCTCCTGCCTCAGCCTCCTGAGTAGCTGGGACTACAGGCACGTGCCACCATGCCCAGCTAATTTTTGTATTTTTAATAGAGATGAGGTTTCACCATGTTGGTCAGGATGGTCTCGATCTCTTGACCTTGTGATCCACCCACCTCGGCCTCCCAAAGTGCTGGGACTGCAGGCGTAAGCCACTGTGCCCACCCTATAGATTATTAAAAAGTACACATGCAAGCCAGGTGCCGTGGCTCATGCCTATAATCTCAGCACTTTGGGAGACTGAGGCAGGCTAATCACTTGAGGTCAGGAGTTCAAGAACAGCCTGTGCAACATGGTGAAACTCCTTCTCTACAAAAATAAACCAGGCATGGTGGCATGCGCATATAATCCTAGCTACTTGGGAGGCTGAGGTGGGGTGATCGCTTGAGCCTGGGAGGTTGAGGCTGCAGTGAGTCTGAGTCATGATCGTGCCACTACACTCCAGCCTGAGTGGCAGAGTGAGACTTGTTTCAAAGAAAAAAAATGAACATGCAAAATAAAAACAGAAGAGGATCATGAAGAGGTCTTGCCTGTTCCCTCATCACAGAATTTATAGGCACATCGCCTTCCTGATGAATTAGGGTGATTTTATTTTATTTTTTTTTTTTTTTTTTTTTTGAGACAATGTTTCACTCTCGTTACCCAGGCTGGAGTGCAATGGCACGATCACGGCTCACCACAACCTCTGCCTCCTGGGTTCAGGCAATTCTCCTGCCTCAGCCTCCTGAGCAGCTGGGATTATAGGCACACGCCACCATGCCCAGCTAATTTTCTGTATTTTTAGTAGAGACGGGGTTTCACCATGTTGACCAGGATGGTCCCGATCTCTTGACCTCGTGATCCACCCGCCTCAGCCTCCCAAAGTGCTGGGATTACAGGCGTGAGCCATCGCACCCGGCCATAGCGTGATTTTCTTTAAGCTTTGTCATTGATGTAAAGCGTGCATGTGGAAAAGTGCACGGCTCCCAGATGACCAGGTCAGTGAGGTGTCACCAACTGAACCACCAGCAAGAAACAGAAGACGACCATCGCCCGAAAAACCCCCTTTCTCCCACCCACCCTCCCCCCGTCTCCAGGACACCCACTGTTTCTATTCTAACACCATAGATTTGTTTGGCCTGTTCTTGGATTTCACATATATGAGATCACACAGCATGTATTCTTTTGTTTCTGGTTTATTTCTCTTCACATTCTTAGGTTGTCGAGATGCATCCATGTTCTTGAATGTAGTGCTAGGTCTTTCATTCAAGTTTCAGTGTAGTCTTCCATTCTGTAAATATGCAACAATTTCTTTACCCATCCTTTTGTTGATAAACGTTTCATTTGTTTCTACTTATTTACTATTATAAATGTGCTGCCATGAGCACTTCTTACACCTGACTTTATGTGAATGTGTGAATACTTTTCTGTTGGGTAAATAACCCAACAGTTATTAAACAGATTTAAATTGCTGGACAGAAGTTATCGATGAGTGCGGTGGCTCACGCCTGTAATCCCAGCACTTTGAGAGGCCGAGGCGGGTGGATCACGAGGTCAAGAGATCAATACAAAAAAATTAGCTGGACACGGTGGCACGTGCCTGTAATCCCAGCTACTCAGGAGGCTGAGGCAGGAGAATTGCCTGAACCCAGGAGGTGGAGTTTGTGGTGAGCCAAGATCGCGCCATTGCACTCCAGCCTGGGTAACCAGCGAAACTCCGCCTCAAAAAAAAAAAAAAAAAAAAAAAGTAGCAGACACAGCCAAAGAGGTTCCCCCGGTGGAGGGACCAGTCAGCTCGAGTTGTCCCACGTTCCCACCAGACTCCAGCCTGGGCGACACAGCAAGACCCCGTCTGCAATAAAACTTTTAAAGAGACACGCTATATTACAGATGCTTTTAATGTTTTGATAACCATATTTCCAAACCACTGATTTTCTCTGTAATCCTGTATCTTGTATTCAATGCATGTAAGAGCGCTGGAGAAGGGATCCATTGTCTCTGCGTTCCACAGGTCTCCATGGCAGAGCAGGTGTGCATGTGCGGACCTCGGGCACGTAGTGGTTTAATACAAAGTGTTGCCTATTTTTTTTATGTTAGCCATTCCAGTTTGCTGTGTAGTAGACAGAATCCAAGGCATCCATGAACTTCAATGGGAAAAAAATTGCAGATTCGTTTTCACTGACCTACAGCGGAAATTTAGCATTTGCTTTCAATATGAACATAGGCCATAAACCACAATATGTTGGCAGAATCTGTAGCTTTGTCATCTGTAGAAATCATCAGTATTTTAATGTCCCATTGTAGCTGTTGCAGATATGGCAAAATCAAATATTTTCATGCATAACTATTTTGAGATGATCATTCTCTGCAAGGTGTTAAAAGACACGCTAGGCCAGGTGCGATGACTCACGCCTGTAATCCCAGCATTTTGGGAGGCCAGGGCAGCTGGATCACTTGAGGTCAGGAGTTCCAGACCAGCCTGGTCAACATGGTGAAACCCCATCTCTACTAAAAATACAAAAAAAAAATTAGCTGGGCTTTGTGGTGGTAGATGCCTGTAATCCTAAACTCAGGAGGCTGGGACAGGAGAATTGCTTGAACCCAGAAGGCAGAGGTTGCAGTGAGCCGAGGTCATGCCATGGCACTCCAGCCTGGGCAACAGAGCAAGACTCTGCCTCAAATAAAGATGAAAATAGAAGACACCCTGTATCACAAATGCTTCTAATATTTTGATAACCATATTTCCAAACAACTGACTTTCTCTGTAATCCTGTATCTTGTATTCAGTGCATGTATCCATTGGCTTTCCCAGAGGGCTCCATGGCAGAGCAGGTGTGCGTGTTCAGGCCTCAGGCACACAGTGGTTTAATAAACATCATCAGGCACATTCTCACGTGGCCTCCTGATCCCTCTCCCTCCGCAGCTTTCTTCGGGAAGTATCTTAATGAATACAACGGCTCCTATGTGCCGCCTGGCTGGAAGGAGTGGGTCGGACTCCTTAAAAACTCCCGCTTTTATAACTACACGCTCTGTCGGAACGGGGTGAAAGAGAAGCACGGCTCTGACTACTCCAAGGTAAGCCTCGACCTCTCCGGGCCTGGGCGAAGCTGCGCGGCCCAGCAGCTAGGGTCCCAGCCCAGGAGCCAGACTGCTTGTGTTCGGAGTGTGACTTCGACACTTAAATGTGTCACCTTAAGCATTTTACATACGTCTTCTTCTCGAGTTTTTTCATCTCTCAGCCAGGCACAGTGGGTCATGCTTGTAATCCCAGCACTTTGGGAGGCTGAGGCAGGCGAATCACTTGAGCCCAGGAGTTCAAGACCAGCCTGGGCGACATGGCGAGACCCTGACTCTACAAAAAAATTACAAAACTTAGCCAGGTATGGTGGTACATGCCTATGGTCCCAGCTACTGGAAAGGCTGAGAAGAGAGGATTGCTTTAGCCTGGGAGTCTGAGGCTGCAGTGAGCCAAGATCTTGCCACTGCTCTTCAGCCTGGATGACAGAGCAAGACTCTCTTTAAAAAAGAAAAGAAAAATGTATTCATTTCTCAAAGAGTAGTCTCTGTTTCCCAGAATTTGGTTTTTTAACATTTTGCTAAGGCAGAATATTCTTACAGAAAATATATATACAGAGTGTACCGTTCAAAGGCTTGTCACAAACTCAACAGACGTGTAATGAGCACCCAGCTAGGCCAAGAAGAGAATGTCACCACCACCCCCAGCAGTCCCCTCATGGAATTCCCCCGACTCGACACCCTTCCCACGAGGATAGCAATGATTCAGACTCCCAGCGTTATAGATTCACTCTGCATCTGGCTTCTCTTGCTCAGGATTACGTTGACCTCATTCTCGCTGCACAGAACTCCATCGTGTGCTTACACCACAACTTGTTTATTTCTTCTACTTTTATTGGGCATTTATGTATATCTAGTTTGGGGTTATTACAAATGGTGCTGCTGAGCAGAGTCTAGAACCTGGCTCCTGGAGAGCCTACAGGCTCATTTCTGTTACATATTTTCCCCACAGCAGCATTGCTGAGCACAGGGCGTGTACATGTTTAGAGTCAGTGGGTGCTGTCTGAGCATTTGCAGAAATGCTTGATCCTCAGTCATAGTTTTTTCTATTTTTAATTTAAGATTGACATGAGGTAACATACACAGATCTTAAGTGGATGGCTTGATGAATTTCCACATACGTGTGCATCTGTTTCACCACAGCTTAGATCAAGACATAGAGCATTTCCAGAAGACTCCCTGGGACCCCTCTCCAGTCATAACCCCCACCCTGGGGATGACATCTAGGTCAGGAGTTCCAGATCAGCCTGGCCAACATGGTGAAACCCCATCTCCACTAACAATATAAAAGTAATCTGGGTGTGGTGGCAGACACCTGTAATCCCAGCTACTCAGGAGGCTGAGGCAGGAGAATCACCCAAACCAAAGGAAGCGGAGGTTACAGTGAGCCGAGATCAAGCTGTTGCACTCCAGCCTGGGAGACAGAGCAAGACTCCATCTCAAAAACAAAAAAAATGCCAGTTTATACTCCCAGCCAGAAATGGGAGGCGCTGTGCCTCCCTTATCAACACTTGGTGTCTTTTTTAACAGGGCTGCTTTGCTGGGCAGGTAATGGTATTTGGTTATGGTTTTACCACAAAAGATTTTGAGGGTCACATGAGTTAATACGTGTAGGACATTAGCGGAGTCCCCTTGCACGTAATAAATCCTCAGTATGTAATAGCTTAGATCAGAGCAACGAACGTTTCTGTAAAGGGCCAGACACTAAATACTTCAGGCTTCACAAGGCATGCAGTCCGCGTTAACACGGCTGAAGTCTGCCGTTGTAGTATGAAAGCAGCCGCAGATACTGTACAAACAAACACGGCTGTGCTGCGAGGAAGCTGCATTTACCAAAACAGGCAGCGGGCCTGCTTGGTTGGAGTTTGCTGACCCCTGGCTTAGATGATGAGGAGGAGGAGGAGGAGAGGCTGACAGTGATGTTTCATTTATTACCATTTTAAAAGAAATAAGGAAATGAACAAATCTTCCTGCCCCATCTAAATCGTCAGAGTCAGCTCTGACATCCCCCCACAGCTGATACATTCTTTCCCCAGACCGTCTGCCAAATCCATCCCTCTTTCTCTTTTCCCATCCCCACTGCCATTAGCCCTGGGCCCGGCTTGCTGTGACTTCCGAGGTTAAAGTCAATAGAGAACAGGTGATCACTGCAAGAGGGTAGCATGCCAGGAGGGAGTAAACGATAGGGAGTAGTGGGGACTGTGGAGAAGGTATCTGTCCAAAAGGGGCCGATCGGGCCCAGGTAGAACTGTGGGCCCAGATGGCCAGCTTTCCTGATTTTTCAGCAGAAGCCACAAATTTGTCTTTTTTGCCTATAAAATATCCTGGTTTGTATCTATTGGCACCTAACTCAGGCTCTTCTGGAAGCCTGCATGAATCGGGCAGGCCTGACCACAGTGCTGCGGCCCTTGCAGCTCATCACGTCGTTCTTCCTGCACCCTCCAGGGACGGTACAGTGAGCTTCACCTCTGGGGTCAGTGAGATCACGTTCAGAGCCCCAGCCTTGACTCATGTTATGTGACCTTTGACAGGCTGCTTATTCCTAAGAGCCTCCACTCCCAAATCTGGAAAACAAACTTACCCTCTCATACTTAATCGTGTGCATTTATTGAGCACCTACTGTGTGCCAGGCACCGTGCTGGGAGTCAAACATGTAGTACTTCCGCTATTTACAACAGTCATGTGCGAGGAGTGGACTAGTCAAACTTGATTTCATTATTCATTCACCACCCCCAACAAATATTCATTGAGAGCCTGCCATGTGCCAGGCACCATGCCAGGTGCTGGCTATTCCCGGGTGCATGAAAACAGACCCAGTCACCATCCTCCTGGAGCTCACAGTCTGGCATGTGAAGATGTGCTATAAACTACTGAGTGATGTGCACACAGCATTAATGCGCACACACAGACACATCACACCTCTCTATTTTGTCATCCCCACTATGAGCCATTTCAGCCTCCAAGCTTGCTAGTTATTACAGTCAGCTCAGTTTTGTTGTTGTTGTTGTTGATTTGCTTGTTTGAGATGGAGTCTTGCTCTGTCGCCCAGGCTGGAGTACAATGGCGTGATCTTGGCTCACTGCAACCTCTGCCTCCCAAGTTCAAGCAGTTCTTGTGCCTCAGCCTCCCGAGTAGCTGGGATTACAGGCGAGCACCACCACACCTGGCTAATTTTTGTATCTTTAGTAGAGACAGGTTTTCACTGTGTTGGCCAGGCTGGTCTCGAACTCCTGACTTCAGGTGATCCACCCGCCTTGGCCTCTAAAAGTGCTGAGATTACAGGTGTAAGCCACCCCACCTGGCCTTCAGTTTTTTTTTCTTTTTCAACTTTTCTTGGGCACATGGGCAGCTTGTCAGAAAGGGGAAGTGCATGCTGCTGGGGTTTGGAGTACAATTGAACCCACTTTCCAAGTGGTGAGCACAATACCCAGCAGGTGGTTTTTCAGCCCTTGCCCCTCATCCTCCCTCTTTGCCCTGTTTCCTGGCACGTAAAGATGTGATATAAACTTTTTTTATTTTTTTGAGATAGAGTTTCGCTCTGTTGCCCAGGCTGGAGTGCAGTGGTGGGATCTCAGCTCACTGCAACCTCCACCTCCTGGGTTAAAGCAATTCCCTGCCTCAGCCTAGACAGCATAGAATGACTGTCCTTCTGCCCCATTTCCTTCCCCCTCTTGTATCTGTCTGTTGTTCCCCTCTTTATGTCCATGAGTGCCCAATGTTTAGCTCCCACTTATAAATGAGAACACGTGCCTTTCTGTATTCACGTTACTTTGCTTAGGATAATGGCCTCCAGCTTCATCCATGTTACTCTGCAAAGGACATGACTTCATTCTCTTTGAAGGCTGTGTAGTACTCCATGGTGTATATGTATCACATTTTTTTTACACAGTCTACCACTGATGGGCATCTGGGTTGGTTCCGTGTCTTTGCTATTGCAAGCGCAGGTGTCTTTTTGGTAGAACAATTTACTTTCCTTTGGGTATATCCCGGTAATGAGATTGCGGGATTGAATGGAAGTTCAACTCTTAGTTCTTTGCATCTCACGATCTTTTAGTAGTGCTTTCCTGCCCTGAATTTATCAAGTCTTATCCATCTTCTCTTCCATGAGTCTTCCCAGATTGCCCTAAACTATAGGGTAAATTTTTTTAATCAGACTGGGCTCTCGCAAGTTGTTTATGAACAGAAATTGAACTCCAAATGGCTTAATCAAAGAGGAAATATATTCAATTGTTTAACTGAAAACCAGCTGTAGTAGTGTCAGGTATGGGTGGATCCAGGAGTTCAAATGAACCCCCAAGGAGTTGGTTTCTCTCGACTGTCAGCTCTGTTTTCTTCTGCTCAGCTCTATTCACAGAAGCTCTCTCTCCTCCTGGTAGCAGTGCGACCTTCCTTACATCCTCCCAGCTTCCTGTCCAGCTGCAAGCTGGCGAGTCTCTTTCCCAGGATTCTGAGTGAGTCTTGGTCCATCTCATTGGCTCTGGATCAGTCTCATGTCTGTCCCTGAGCCAATCAGTGTGGCCGGGAGGATGCCTGGTTCCCTGGACTATTAGTCATATGCTCTGCTCCTGAGCTAGACATGGGCATAGCAGGAGCTCTACCCTGGAACACTGGCTGAGAATAGAGCCCCAAATAAGAATGGAGTTTCCACCAGAAGGCTGAGTAAGTGTTCAGCCGCCAAAAAACACTCTGTCCTGCTTCTGTTCTGGAAACCCCAGCACACATGGAGATCCCTCTGCCTCTGACAGGTCATCCTGGGCTTCCTATAAGTCTGATGGGTCCAGGCCTAAGTGGCAGAAGGCCCCACCTGCACTCTGCACATAGTAGGCCTCCAGCCTCCCAGGCGAGTTAACTCCAAAGTTCTGATGAGGCGGTCTAGCAGCCCTGCTGGACTCCCTGGAATATACACTACAGTCCCAGCGCTCAGCACACTGTTTCCCTCCTCCCAGCCTCAATGCAGGTGGATTCTCTAAATATCCTGAAAAATACATTCCCTCCTTTTT